TATCATGAGGAAAAGCAAACAAGCAGGAAAAAACAAAACTCTCATATGAATTGCTAAGCCTGGAGGAGCAGATGTGTAAGGATTTAAACCCTGCAGAATTCTGGACTAGAACACCTTGCCAGGGAGTCCTTTAAGCAAATGAAAACAAGACATTTATAGGAACAAAAGAGACTGAAAGAAATCAATTTGTGAACTAGTTTGTTCAGAAAAAAAAAAAAATCCAAAGGAGGGAAGGAAATCCAAAGATACAGTTTCTAAATGAAACACAGCCTGGATAGGACCCAAAAGGAAACAGAAGAGCACATACAGAACAAAGACTTACATATACAAGTTATGGTGAGAAATAAGCTTAAAGATAATCTATGTCCAAATAAAACAACACACAGAGATGAATGGAAAAAGATTAGAGGGCAATTACAAAGAGCACTGTGTTAAGCAGAAAAGCTCAGTGCTTTCGGCTGCTAGTGCATGGAATGAGAGAGATGCCCAGTAGCATATCCATAATGCCAATTTTTTTGACATACACAGTCAAAAAAACTCTGATGTGACCTCTGGCTTAGCGGTGCCTATAAGTATATTCTCCACAATCAAGTCCCTTTTTGTTGGTGCTGTACCAGGGATCAAACTCTGGACCTCACACTTGTCCAGCCCACACTTAACTCATAAATGTCATGTATCCTGGGTGCAGAGCATTCAACTATGAGAGGTCATCAAGATATATGCTACTTATTTTTGGCAATAAAAGACATTATCATCAATCCCCCTTTAGCTTTGACCCCATTTATTTCATCATTCTTGCTACTTTCTGCAGTAGTTCTGGAAGGCTTTTGGGCCTCTATGAGGTATGATCAAAAGCACAGTGAATGTAGCGGAGTGGCAGGCTCACACAAACATTATCACATGTCTATCCATTAGGTCTGGCACCACGCAACTTCTGGCTCTTCCCCGAAGTCAAAATGATCATGCAAGTTAAATGTTTTTAATTGATTTAGGATACTGAGGCAGCCATGACAGTGCAGCTTCAGAACTTCTTCAGCAAATGGTAAAAATGATGGGATAAGTGCGTTTGGGGTGGGCGGGAGTTAAGGTTAGGGTTACGAGTAGAATTTTGAAGGGGATTAATAACAATGGGATTTTTACTGTAATAAATTTTAAATTTTTAAATATTCACTATATGTTTATCACATCTCATGAATACTTCAAAGAATCTTAAGATAGCTCCCACAGAGCCCTCAATTTTGACGGTAATGCATAAAGTGATAAAAGACAGATATGCAAACTATAAGCAAAGTGTAAGTAATACTATATACAAAGAGAAAGTAGTCATGACTCCTCAGGAATCTTTACATTAGAACCTTTGTTCAGTATCTATTAGATAACTAAAGCTCGAAAGAATTGTACAACATGGTGTTTCACTGAACCATAGACATCAATTATTGTAAGATATATCACTACTTTATTATTTTGACTAGCAAAAAATAACAATGGTAAAATCTTATTGAATATAGAATGTATTCTGGTTTCAGAGACATTAAAATGTACCTTTATGTAAATGTTCCACTTAAAATATTTTAGACAAGTTATGGTTCTGAATATTTATATATGAAAAAGTTTAAAGTCAATGTTTAATGTTCCTATCTTAAGAAGACAGGAAAAAGCTAATTACACTCTAAGTGAGAAGAAAGAGAAGAACAAGGGTAAAAGTAGCGTTCAATAAAATAAAAAATTGAACAACAATCAAAAATTCAATGAAAAGTTGACCTTTTGAAATATTAATAAAATTGATAAACTTCTAACAAGATTTATTCAAAGAACTAAAAAGTATAACTTAATAGTATAATTAAACAAAAACACTATAAGGTCCAACAACCTTAAAATAATAACACATGAATAAAATAAAAATACACAAAACTTAATGCTAATATGCATGATAACTTAAATAAAATAGACAAATTTATTAAAAAATAAGTTGCTAAAATAGAAACAAAAATTAAAATTCTCACTAATTTTATACTGATGAAGAAACTAAGCATATAATTTAAATGTTTTCACAATGAAAATGATAGACCCCCAACTTTACAGCTAAATTTTACCAAATATCTAAGGTAGAAATGTCAGTTGTACTCAGACTGCTTCAGAAGACAAAAGAGGAAAGAGTACTAAATTATTCAATGAACCAGCTTTATCCTGATATCAAATACTGACAATACAAGCAAAGAAAATTATAAAACAACATCTCTATGATCATAAAAGTGAAAGTTTGCATAAAACCCCACCAATTTATCCTGTTTATTTGGGGAATGCAAAGTTGGTTTAAAAGTTGAAAATCAAAGGCCAGTAAGATAGCTTATCAGACTAAGCACCTGCTTAGGCAAGCGCAGGGACCAGGGCTGGATCCCTGGCACCACATACCGTGCCAGCGCCATCCCCAGGTGTGCTGAGCCAGCCACCGAGACCGGGCATGGTAGTGCATGCCTGTAATTCCAGTGCTGGGGAGGGGCTAAAGCAGGAGGATTACTACAAATCCGAGCTGCATAGTCAGACCCTTTACCAAACACACAAAAGAAAAACATTGAAAATAATATATGAAAGTCACAAATTAACAGGCTAGAAGAAAAAAGAAAAAGATAAAAAGAAAGGAAGAGGAGGGAGAAGGAAGAAGACAGATTTTAAAAAAAGAATCCTCTATTCAAAAAATGCAGAAAAAATTTACAAAATATGTTCACAGTAAAAAAAAAATCTAAGTTATAAACAGAAGTAAACTTAGCTAGTAAAGGAAACCTATACAAATATCCCCCTAACATCATACACAGTTACATGTGTGCAATGGGAAGGAGGCATGAAGACCACTGTGCCACTTCTGTTCAACACTTTCCTGATGATCTTGGCCAATGTAGGAAGGCAAGAGAATAAAGCACTAGGCATGTCAATTTGAAAGGAAGATGTTAGAACATCTTTATTCCTGGACCATGTAATTCTGTATGGAGAAAAATCCTAAGAAATATATACAAAGTCAGCGAGCACTAAGAAGTGAATGTAGCCTGGTCACATGACACAGAGCAATGCACGAATAACAACTGCATGTCCAGCTGTTTTTGCTCTCCACGAACAATTGCAAAATGAATTTTAAAACAGTATGTACAACAAAAGAACATGAAGTACTTGGTGATAAAGGAAACAAATTTATAGACCTTTACACAGAAAAGTACAAAATAGTGGTGGGAAGATGGGAGAGAAAGAGAGAGAGAGGGAGAGAG